CCAATAAAATAATGATTCATGTGAAAGCAAAATGCACGATATGACGGCTCATCCCCGTATCGAGCAATACGGTATGGATACCAATCATTTACATATGGTTTTTTGTGTGAATGTATGATGCCAAAATGAATTCTACGAAATTAACAAAATACTGAAATGAAGCGAACAAATGTAATGATATTGATATATTTCAATGTAACAGTTTCAGATAAGCAACATATTGGTTCTCTGAGAAATTCCAGCTCGATTCAAATTCAATACGAGAGAAATTTCAATGAAAATAAGACATTCTCAAGTGAAACGAAATGGACTAATTTCATCTCTGAAATGGCACTGTCCCACTCCCATCAGAACGATTCTCATAAAGGAATGGAAATCATAAGATAAGATTTCATTTCTCTGAGACTTTGGATGATGAAATTGTTGTTCAATTATTCACAAACGTTTTCAGGCAATGCAAAAAAGTGATTCATTCTTGAAATGAATCACTTCAAATTTGAGAATTTTTCAGTTAGGAGTGAAATAATTGCAATCTGAAGGTACTATTGGAATGAAATACATACTGGAGTGAATTCAACAACTCAGTGCATTTGCTGTTCGGTCGAAATTAATACTGATGAAATCAACATCGAATGAAGCACATCAAATGAAACAAAAAACGCGAGAATATTTCAGTAAGTGACTGAATCAAAGAAAATCAACGCAGCAACATGTTTGCTTCCTTGAAAACTTGAACAGCAGAAGCGCAAAGCAATCACATATTTTTTGAACGAAATCACTTTATGCTAATCATATGATGAATACAAAAGTACAGCGCAAGAAGAAATAAATTGCGCTTAGTGAGGCCATTTCATTAGGCAAACTAACATTCACGATTTCACATCTGCTACCTGGATTTGAAATGGACAAGAAGGATGCTCGATTCAGGAATGAAGAAGCAATAAAATGAGCAAACGTTAAACTACTGCGAAAAGAAGACAAGCCAACGAACCTGTACAAAGAGGTCGGCTGCTTCATCCGTTTTGCTACCTCCGAATAAACTANCCACCTCCTTTCGCCTTCTTCTCGGCTTCCTCGAGCTTCTTACGTGCTTTTGCCTCGTTGTCGGCCATTCCTTCAATACCAATCCCATTATATGTGGACTTCAAAACAAACAAACAATTTGACAGAAACAGACACGAGGATAAAATTATGTGACGCATCAAAACCGGTAAGAAAACACTCCGTTCCAATAGAAAAACCGATGAGGTGAATAACACATCTTGCAGATAATTAAAATTCATGCGAATTACAAATTTGGTATCAAAATTACAGGTGCTAGCCATACACCGTATGGCTATCAAAAGAACGTACGTACATCAAAAATATAACTCCTGGGGATTACGTCGAAAACGTAAAAGGAAGTAACCACATTAATGTTTGGCGACATCGCACTGTGGCATATAGCATGTGCATGAATAAAAAAGACTCATGCACAAATGACTCGAGGGGATATAACCAAAAATATGTGAGCACAATCAATACTTCCATCGATTTTAGTGGAGCACCAGCCGCATAGAGATGAATGACTATCTTTATAACAACATTAATGGGGCATTCCGTTTGTCTTTCATTAACATAACAATGATGATTAATTCAACTAATTATTCACACAATATGGAATAGCT